AGGTGTCGCAGGTTGGCGAAAGCTGCTCTAGCTTTCGCTATTCGTATTGTGATCTCGTCCCCAACACCAACACCAGCTGCAATCGAGCTCCCGAGGTACTTAAAGCTCTCAACTACTTCTAGCTGATCACTACAGAGGGTGAGTGCAGGCATAGGCTCCTGCCAGTCTTGTACCAGCACTTTGCACTTTGATGGTGCAAAGCACATACCATACCATACATTTTTTTGGGCATACAACGCTAAAAGCAGCTCGCCGATGGGAGCTTTTCGCCTTCCGAGAAGTCTCCACTCACGAGAGGCCACTTCTCAAGCACTGGTGATGTCACCTCGGCTGGTGATGAAAAGTTTGCAAAATTGCCAAGCTCGGCGAACAGGCGAAATGGAACACCTGAATACCTCTATCGCCAAGCGGTTCAAAGCGTTTTGCACTGTCTGTGTGTTGTCACTAAGCAAGGCGATGTCATCGGCATATTCTAAGTCAAGGACTCTGTTCCCTGGGAGGAGTTCGACTCCACTGTTTGTTAGACCGGACAAAGTATTTTGCAGAACATCCTCTATGACAAAGTTGAAAAGGAAGAGGGATATGGGTAGCCTTGTCGAACTCCACTGGAGATAGCCACAGGCCCTAACCCGACCTGAGGTATGACGATACAACTCTTTGGCGATCGACACATACTTCTCAGGTACTCCATTCCTCAAGAAACAGTTCCATAGTGCGGTCCTATCAACAAGGTCGAAGGCCGCGCGGATGTCCCCGCACAAGACCAGCTCGTGGCTCAGTCTAAACTTATTTGGAGATTGAGGATAAGAAAGAGCCATTTTTACTTGATACATGTGTTGCAGATTTTTAGCAAAGTCCTAATCAACTGAGTGAACAGAAGCCTGTGATAAAGCAGTAAAGATGGTTGGTGAACACAGGCCGCAGTGAGACTGTGCAGCAAATCGGATTATTCCTATTGGGAACACGACGGTTAAAAAGCTTCAGATTGCAGGACAAAACGATGATTAGACAGACTTCGTTTTCGCCAGGAGGGGAGAATTGTAAGGTGCCTCTCCATTTGTGAGTAGTATGTTTGGATTGCACAAAATAACGCGATCAGCGATTTCTCACAATAGTCAAAAATGAACAAGGCCACCTAAAGCGAAGTTCTGTGTTCGAAACTGTAACTACAGAAAATAGGCACCTACCGTCGGACCGTTCCATGAACTATCCTGTGTGCTTGTGGGAAATATTATGACCTGTTCCAAAGGAAACGTTTTGTCGTACGTATCCCAATTTATCGTTAGTCTCACTGCTGTTCGTATTTAGCGACTCTCCACGTCCCGGCGCCCGTCTTTCGGTATTATAACGCTGGTACTACCTTTATAACCCCACAAGGGGAAACCGTTTCACATTACTGATTCCCAAGTGTCGATTGGATGGCAGTCTTTTGCAGTCAGAGTATGCAGATCTTGGAACGCTCTTCCATCTCATGTCATTTGTGCACCCACGATTGAATCTTTCAAGCAGAGACTCGAGGAAACCTTGGCACACCTCACATTCATACACCACTAAAAGTAAGTGGAAATTTACTGTAGCCTACATTCTCTATTATCTCCTACCCGGAACTCTACGTGACTCCTTTTTCGACGTGTAACGATTCATCTGTGTAAATATCCTATGGGACAAGAGAAGCACGAGCTTCTAAGTTATTCCCATAATGAAACTTTGATTTTGACTTCATACTTCACACTTTAGTTTTTGAAGAGTGGGAGTGGGAGTCTCGCGAGAACAGAAACCTCCCGTTTGGTTGAGGAAACTTGCACTGAGTGGTATCGAAACTGCCCATTCAAGTTGGGTAACGGTAAGATGGATTCGGAACTATGACCTTAGGATTGAAATTACGCCAATGTCAGCGACATGAACCGATCGCTATTCTGAGGACATCAGTTTACACTGACAGGATAGGATCGATATGGTTGGAAAGCATACGGGAGTGAATCTGGTGAAACGAGCAGCAGTTTCATTATGATTCGAAGAACATGGGTGTGAGAATAAAACAATTGGAAGCCGATTATGGAACAGAACCGACGTTAATATGAAATCCTAGAGTAGCAATAGGAGGGATCACTGAAATAAAAGACAATCATCCATAAAAGCACCACCAAAAAATGAAGCTTGGTTGCAAACGTACTATGCCCAATGGTGCTGAAGTGGAAGTGATCGCGGCTTCCGGGGTTCGCATGAGCGTGCACATGTTTCGCTCACCAGGCGCGGTGGCATGCTGAACGGTGTTTGCAGTTGCCTTAATCTGGTCAACTGGATCTGGATTGTTCGACGTAGTGTCCGAGGTGTTATTGGACTGGGATGTTGGGTTTTTAGACCGGATAAGAGCCTCAGCCAGGGCCAATCTCATCTGTTCTATTTGTCGTTGGCCAGTTGACACCTGTTACGAGAAAGTATTATGTGAAAAGGAGAAAAATTATAGAGGATGAATAAGAAAATCAAACAATTATAGTTAACAGACTGCGTCAGAACAAACGAAATACCCTGAAATTGAATGTGATATCGAACAACATTACTGCATATTGTTATTTAAAATGATTTGTAATTGTAAATGGAGCACATGTAGCGATCACATGTGTAAAGAATTAGGATTCAAGAAACCCCTACCAGATGATATTCCAAGCTAAAACTGGAAAACCCTGTGTCAGTAACACCATCTCCAAGCGCCACTTCATGTTGGGGAACGATGGACAGAAATTTACTTATTGGAATTGGACGGTTATATTTGTAGTTTGTCTTGCATCGTCAAGTTGCACTGCAATAGCTTTGTTCCCTACAAGCGGCTGCACAGCAAACTTCAACGCCTGACAGTCTAGATCATATATTCTCTGTTCTCGAGATACAACGGCTATCTTATCTTGTTTAACCCTTTTTCAATCAGTCTTAAAAACAAGGAAAATTACGTCCAGCCGATCTTTGCAGATTGATCCAAAAGGATTATATTTCACGCTTGTCTGAGTCAGAAATCTGTTCGTTGAGTCACGGTACAAAATGGCTTTACGATAAAGAAATCAATCAATGACTAGCCTATACGGGAGACAATAACAGGACGTCCAAGAAAAAGCAAGTAGCACTATACTTTTTTAAATTAACTGCTCGCATGAGACCCAGCATCTCAATTCAAGTCAAATGTATGCTTTATGCACCCTGAAAGGTGAATATCCTGCTCAAATGGTCTCTGTCGAGGAAGCCCTTCTTACTGCCTTCACGTGGGGGTGCTTACCCAAAAAAACTGAAAGCATGAAAAGGCAACATCCGGGCCGGTGAACCACTAAAACCCCACATTCAGAACTAAAGGCGTATGAATCACATCCACTCACACCTTGATTCTGGCAGTGGCCACCGACTTCTTTGTGTATCGTGTATTGGGCACGTGGGAGGTTTGACTGGATCCAAAAGGCGCATGATCGAGTGAACTGGACACCACTCCCCAATAGATTGGTGTTTCCAAACGCCGTTCTACTGTCTTGCGAGTTAGGCTTCAGCTAGTAAAAGTCTCCGGTAGTGAAACCCCAAGAAAATTCACTCACTCTGGCCGGGGTAATCTGGCGATAGTCCGCTCACTAGCAGATCGTGCACCTTTTTCTTTGTTATCTAGATCGTTATACACCAATTTGTTTGGCGCATAATTTGCAATCAGACAGGTGTCAGATATGCTATATATTACAGGTTGCATAAGCAGTGTTTTTGTTTTCATGCCGTATATTCTTGGCGAAAAATAATTAATCATCAATTCTTAGTCGAAAACAGATTATGTCTCCAGTACTTGTTGAAACCTTTTGGGCAAACAGGTCTCCATAATAATTCAGTTATGCGTAGGCAAATAATCCTCTATCTCAACAATGACTGATTTGATCAATCCAATCTTCCCTGTAATCCTTCGTCCAAATGGACAGTCATAGGATAACAACCAAAACCGGCGTACGGAAGTGCATGGTTAATGGTTGTTAAAAACTGAAAACTGACAGGTAAATAATCTTATCCACGCCCGTTTTGGTCGAAGAAAGTGTGATAAAAGTAAAGAATGGTAAAAACGAGCCGAAGAAGATTGTGGTAACTGACCACGGAAATGCAGAACACTTCATAGGATAATTCGTGGTGCATAAAGAAAAACGTGCACTGAAAAGCTAGGAGGCATTGTCCTGTTCAGTTTACACAACCAACAGCCGGGCACTTTCGATCGCCGATTTTGGCTACCCATTTGGCAAATGCCAATCGAACCTTCACTATGCGAGCTGATACCTCATTCGCCCTCATGCGTCCACAGGGTGATATAGCAACCCAAATAACAAAACGTGTCCACTTGCTCTACTAATTCCTTAGGTAGAGTAAGGCAGGGTGCTGGACCAACAAAATTTTGTAGCAGCATTTTATACTTTGAAGGTGCAAAATGCAAACCGAATATGGCTACGCTAGCACTCAATTTGTCCATAAACGCTTGCAACTTACCTCAATCTTCATTAGACAATCGCATTTATTAGTGACCTCTAGCATATGCTCCAAACCGACCTCTATCAACCACTCTGGTTGCTAACTCACACCTGTTTTTGATACACGGCAAAAGTCTTCGATTGCATTCAGATCCCGGCTTTTGGGTGTACAATAATGGCATCACATCGGCTGTTTCCCGGATGCTATGAGAATTCAGTCATCATTTCCCCAAAGGTGGAAGGGAAAAATTGCGGCAAATTCGATCAGACTACCGTTGATAGTATTTTTTTGTGCCTTTTCTCAGGTGCAACCATATGTAATTCTTGTTTTGCTTCAATATAATTGGTTTTTGCCTCCGCATTGTTGTATTACTGAAGAAATTCCTCTGGCTATGCGACCTTTCTTCTACATCAAAACACAATTCAGGGATGAGACACTTAATTTAAGCGTCTCTCCAAAACATTGACTCTCTGGTTCACTAGTATAAAACTTTTGTTTTCATCCAACATCTCAAAACGCTCATTTAGCAAGCCGCACACCTTAAGGCCAATTTTCACATTTCGTGGAATATATATTTATTCCCCTCACATATATGAGGGATTTGTGCCCTACGTATCTTTAATTTATTTAAGATAAAAAACTATCACTTATCAGTACATTTACTTCGAACCGTGCGGAAAAAGATGCACTATTTAGATTGACTATGGAACAACAGTCACACATCAGAAAGAAGTTAATAGCTTCTGTGCACCAAATATTTTAGGTTCCTGTTGGAACTTCTGAATTACCATAAATTTTGTCGTAACACGTAAGATCACGCCAATTCAAATATTGATACAAGAAAATTATGAGCATAGCCGTGGACAATGAGGTGTTGAATATATGGTCTTTACTAGTAGCTATCGATGTGCAAGTATGTTATTGAAAACATAAATACATTTATAAACTGAGGGTCATGTCAGTCAAGTTCGGTAAATACTTGTAGGTATTTAACTTATCATTGGTGGGACATAATAGTTGATGAGATATCAGTTTAAATCATAATTTATAAGAGTGAACATAACAAGTGATACAAACAGGAGGATATTGCACAGAATGAAAACAATACCTGTTGCGTAAGAGAATCGCGCTCCTGACGCAGTTCTTCCGCCTCCGATCGGGCACGCCGAGCCTCTGAAACCAGGCGTTGATGGTCCTCTCGGCTGGTTGTCACCTCTAATTCGATCTGCGCAATGCGACTGCGCAATGCATCACATTCCTCTCGTACAGACATGAGCAGCTGAGACTTGGACGCATCTGATACAGGAAAAGAAACGACTTTAGTGTTGATTTAATGCGATACAATTATAAGATAGCTGCAGAAAAGATGACGCACCTTGCTCTTGGTATTCCAGGGCCTTTTGTTTAAATACCTCACATTCGGATAGCGCGTGCAACAATTGTTCTGGAAAAAAACGGTTGAAAAGCGAATGACAAAAAGTTGGCATTTCTATGCAGCTGATAAATCCAATGTTATTTTTCATTACACATCGTGTGAAGAACAGCACGAAGGTGAGTTTCCTCAACCGGAGGGATCTACTGGGCGGTTACGATAACCAGCAATCTCAGCCCTGGAACTTTATGGGTGAACCAATAGGCCACGAAAACGTCGTCTCGGGGACGAACTAAAGACATGATTTCATACAATAAAGTGGAATATAAGTCTTTATTTGATTTGTGGTGAGACTGGTACAAACACTAGATTTGACGGTGTGCCGCAGGTAGCAACGTATGGATAGCTACAATCAGTGAAATTAAAGACACTATAACTACTTGAAGGAGAGAGTTGCATAACAGTAAAAAAATAGCGATACCTCTGCTTGCAATGCTTGAATTTATTCGATCGTTTTACAATACTAAGTCATATCGTTCGAGATGTCCAAAGTGGCTTTCAAGTCACGTGAAGGAATAACTTGCACAATCGAACATTAAGAACTGTGTTCCTGCATACTGCTCACTGAATTATCTGTTAGTATAAGCAATACGGACATTTTTCTTCTTTTACTGAACATATGTATATATACATTGATACCAACAATTTCACCGTTTTACCTGTGCTCTCCCCGTGAGACTGTTTCTCTACTACGGTAGGACCACTTCACAAGCACTGATGATGTCACCTCGGCTGGTGATGAAACGTTTGCAAAAAAACTGACAAACTCGGCGAACAAGCGAAATGGAATTAGGTAGGATAGTTCACATTGTTGTTTGCGAGTTGAAGTCTTATGTTGAAACGTGAAAACTTCAGTAGCCCCAGTGAGATTCAAACCCAGGCATGGATTTCGCCTATTTGTTTGTATAGTGCACGCTCTCCCAGTTGAGCTACGAGGCCACACCGATAGCACTGATATTTTCACATTCGAACCAATCATCCAACTCACACAGACATATAGCATTCATCGGGTAACGCGTAAGCTGACTACCACAAGTTTTCCTTGGAATTAAATGGAGCCCAACGAACTGTTAATTTTCAAATGACAATTCGTCGTGTATATAGCAAATGAAGCGTGAACTGAAAAGCTCGGAAGCACTGGACAGCTGTTTCGATCTGGTAGGGTCTCATCATTGCTATATACACGACGAATTGTCATTTGAAATTTAACCAAATCCTCCATTACCCACATG